ACATTGATGTCCGTTTTATGACATTGTGTTAAGGACAAAATGTACGTTTAAATTTATTTTTCCAGGGTCCAAAGGGGGGACTTTAGCCCTTTTAGCCCCCCCCCCCTTGGAACCGCTACTGTTGCTATGTGTTTTGCTACACTGTCATGTGAGTCCTTTTCCTTAATTTCAAAGAATTCATTAAACAGACGGCCTTGTCTCTGTTCAGTTCTCTGTTCAAAACTAGGCTACTCAAAAGTTCCCCCCACATATCCTGTGCAGTTGGACACATATTTATAAGCTGTTTTACTTGACTGCTAACAGATGAAACGATAATATTCTTCGCTTGAAATTCTTTCTTTTCAAGTACACCAACCTATTTGTCCATCTTTTAAGCATCTTCATCTTCACCTGGTTTCTCAGGGTATACAAGCTTTCCTTCAACAGCTTCCATTACCCAATGAACTCGAAACTGTTTGACTACTTGAAATTTCCAATCTATCCAATTGGATTGACCCTCCAGTTTATCAACTACATACACTTTAGACATTTACATGGTAGACAAAACACTTAAAGACAACTGAACAAGATTTTTCAAAAAGACTAATAACAATCGATCACAGGTTCTTTTCTTTCACATATATCCTACTAACAAATCCATAAACACAGTTATTTGCGAGTCTGGGCCACCATAACCTGCTGTAATAAACTGATTTTAATAGTAGGATAAAATAAATATAAGACACTGTTAAAGAACCATTTTAATAGACTGTTAGTTTACACAACAACTTAAACAAACAAACATTACAATAATCAGAATTACATATACAGCTGTTACAGGACTGAGTAAATAATTTTTTATCTCAACAATTAGTAAAGCGTAAAATCCAATCTAGACATCTAACCAAAATTTTGTACTTGGAAAACCGCCTGTAGTACCAATTGCCCAATTACTTTTGCTTTTACACTCAGTATTTGTCATTAAAGATGAGACTTTTTCCAGCATTTATTTCTTCTTCATTGCTGGGTGTAATTTTGGTGGGCCATAGTTCTTTTGGTTGGTTTAACCATTTGGGACCCTCCCACCAACGCACTGATAATAGTTTCTTGGCGCTACAACCTCTTGATGGTAAATCCGCTGGATTTAGCTGACCAGGAACGAATCTCCATTGGTTTCCATCGCATATACTTCTGATTTCATTGACTCGGTTTCGTACAAAAACAGTCCAATTCTCATTCCTTTTTATCCATGCCAAGTAAGTGGAAGAGTCACTCCAAAATGTGGTTTCAGCATTCTTGAACATATCCGTGCTCTTCACTGTAGATGAATAAAACCTAGCACTTATCGTGGCACACAAAAGTTCCAGTCTAGGTATGGACATTTTTTTTATCGTGCGACTCTTGACTTCGCTTGAATCAACTGAACATTCAAACCAAAAGATGTTCATGATCTTGTTGCTAACTAAAAACCAATGTAGAATTTTGATTTTGATGTCCTTTAAAAAAACAAATTCTTTCTGCCAATTAATAATATCTTTCCGAATATCCCCCCCCCCCAATTTCCTCATCACATTTGATTTTAGATTTCCACAGTTTTTAAAGACTAAGTTTGGGAGCAAGAGTAACTGGACTGAAAAATACCTATGGGATGAAACACTTTTTGAGCTAGAGATAGTATATTACGTTTCGTAACAGTCTGTAAAGGCTCACCAATATCTAAACTAACACCAAGAGTGTCATTTTCCTCATTCAATTCCAATCCTAAAACTTTAGTGACACAGGGTTTTAGATTTTGATTGTTGGACTCCCACCCTCTGAAACAAAATGAACCATCAGCCATAATTTCTGTTCCTTTATCAATAAACCAACTTAATTCTTCTTCTTAATCTACACTTGTGTCACAATTGCCACATGCAGACTCTGGCTTAGTGTGTTAATAACATCTATTTTGTTTTCAAATTTAGCTTTAGACCGTTCAAGATGATGAGTTATAACTGCACTTAGTAGGAAAGGACTACTTGTCAAACCAAATACTACTCTACAATGTCTCAGCACTTGTAAATCCCCTTTGTCATCCACCCACAAGAATCCCAAATAATTCCTGTCATATTCAATATCATCAGAACATTCAGATCATCGAAATATCCTCAGAAGGATCACTAAAAGAAAACATACTAACACATGATGTATTGCATTCTTTCTTACTGTTATCAGTTTCCATAACACTAGATAAGCGACCCAATAATGTCCAGCCTAGGAAAGTTTCCTTTGCGACAAGCCCACTATTCAGCTGAACTTTGTTACCTGTAAACAACTTAAGGCCTTTTCACACTGGTGTACTAGACGTTCTGTTTTAAGAAATCGCTGCCCATGTTATCATATGAGCTCATTCACACCACGAGTTCAGGACGTCCTGAACGTCCGCGATGGTTTTGTATGAATCGGCTAGCGCATGCACACTGCGCAGTAGACACTTCAAAACAACGCCAACACCAGAAATTTCTCCTTCTTGTAGTTCGTCGAACTCAAGAAAATCTGTTTTAGCCTCACAACCACTGCTACAGCCGCAACAACTGGGGTTGTTCGAGTTGCAGCAAACAAACATCTTTGCAGCATCAGAGTGGAGCTACAATAGTACTTTGGACTCTACTCTAATATCAAAGAACTACCATCACGTAATAAAGAGTCATCCTTGTCACAAACCGGATACTTGTGCCGAAACGCCAGTGAAGGTGTTACTTGTCTGACTGCAAATGAACAAGTAGACGCTTTGGAAGTTTCTGTGCGGGAGCCCAAGGTATCGCTCTGACGTCACAGCGGCGACGTGGTGGGGAGCCACCTGGCATCACTTTCTAAGCTCGCGTGGCCTAGCCCTTGTATATCTGTAGCCCTGGGCAGTACCACCGTGGTGATACATCCAACCTTGGACAAATGAACACTAAAAGTTTACATTGTCTTGGCTTACATTTTAAGCATGAAAAGACCGGCCGAGACAGTTCAATTTTTACTCTTTGTTGCCAAAAATGAAAGCTTCTTTTTTTTTGCAGAAATCACCATACTTTCAGGAACTTATTTGGAAACTCCCAATCAGAAAACAGGGATGTGAGATTTATATCCCTAAATTAATTGAATACAATTCGTCAATTAAATTCCGCCTTTGCCATGGTCAGCCCTCAAGCTCATTTAGATGAGAGGATCTACAATTTCAAGATCCATGATACGTTTTGCCACCGAGGAAGTCCTCTAAGTCCTCAAGAAGGTCATGATCCTGAATACCCACAGATGTATAAGTATGACGTTGGCCCTGGAACCTAGCAGAGCATCAACACATTTCAAACAAAAAACACAATTAAAAAATATGCGGGAAATAGGGTCACTATGCTAACCCATTTACCCAATCTTTTAAGACTTTGGACGAAATTTGTAGGGGCGAGAGCTCCAAGTAGTCAAGTAAAATTCTTATGTACTGTACATAATAAGAGACAAAAAAAGTGACTTCCCTCGCTACAATGATGCTACCTGTTAGATGTCGCAGCTATTTTTTAAAGCTGAAAACAGAGCACCACCTGGTCAAATAAATCAGTTTTTTTTAAAAATAACTTCTTGATCAGAATTGTATGTGTTATTAAATTTACGGAAAGTAAATAAAGATACATCTTATAACACTTATAACATATATTTTCACCACACTATGATGTTTTTGGCTGTATTACATACGTTAATTGGTGGCTGAAAGTTACGTTTTGCTGGCCATGCCAGCTGTCGCCAATTTGGGGACCGAGCAGGTTTTTACAGGCCGGGGCCGCAAAATCAGCTGTCCGCTTACTTAATTAAATCATGAATGCGTTTTAAATACACAATCAAAATGCATAGCATTGCAATATAGAATTGTGTTATTGTCACCGTTGCCTAACAACTATTTATTTATATTTTTGCTGATTCCTCAAATTATTTCTTCACATAACCTTAAAGTTGTAGTTGTGTTGACGATCAGTGTGCATTATTATAGTGGTGAATAGTGGTAATAGGGTATAGTGTGGTGAAAAATAGCGTTCGTACCACGGACCGAAATGGTTTTGCAGCTCTCGATCGATTTAAGTTCTCGACTTCGTCTCGAACTTAAAAACTATCTCGAGCCGGCAAAACCTCATTTTCGGCCCTAGGTACGAAATATACTGTTACGCTTATACTGTTACTCACAAGACGGTAAACATACAAAAGATGGTAAGTGGTGATCGATTTCGATTGGACACTCCAATCATCATCAGACCCAATAGGCGAATCTATCTACATTCGCCTATTGGGTCTGATGATGATTAAAGTGTCCAATCGAAATCGATCACCAATTACCATCTTTTGTATATTTACCGTCTTGTGAGTAACAGTATAAGCGTAAATATATGTTTTAAGTGTTATAAGACGTATCTTTATTTACTTTCCGTTTTTTTTTTTTAACTAATGATGTTAAACGAGTATTCATTCTAGATTCGTCATTAGATCCACTTCCTTGCCCTCTCACGTTCCCATCCGGAGACTTTGGTTTGGGCCCCTAATTTAAACACGCATAAAAAAATAATTTTTCCTTTAATAAATTAAAGAAATAATTTAACAATGCTATATAACGTGTCATACTGGTTGGCGTTAAGAGATATATTTAGCTTACTACATTAGGTCTGAAAAGCTTACTTTACAGTGTGTGGTTGTCATCTACTTGCTCATAGTGTACCCGCCTACTGTACATAAGAGATAACCAGCAAAGCAGCATGAGAGCGGATCTATATTTTAATACTGTAGATTATTTATTTAATTTTTTACAACATAATAAATTTCAAATGTCTATAATCAGTCATAGAAATTACTTTAGAGTTACTCTTTCATTGAGCTCTTGCTGTTTATGTTTTGGTCTTTATTCTCTTATTACAAGTAGGTAGCAGTTTTGCTCGATTTCGAGCATTGGGTTATCTCCTAGTATTTAATAATCTTGTCTTGTACCTCTCCTAAAAAGTAATTTTAACTTTTAGATGAAGCTATTCCACCAGGCCTTCATATAAGAATAAATTTATCCACTGGTAAAAAAGAAGCTAAACTACTTGATAATGAAGATACAAAGGAGGAAAAAACATCAATTGCTGTTGTTGAGGAAAATGTAGAAACAAATACTGTTGGCCTAGATGAATTAAAACTGGAGGAAAGATTAAAGGATATACCATCTGAAGCAACACCTACGACTCCTGAGGTTTGTTCAATCATCTAAGATTTACCTACCATACTTAGTTATGTTTATTTTAAGTTGCTATTTATAAGTTACATTAGTTATGCAATGTTTGAGTTGATTGATGTCCTTGACTTTTCTGCAGGGACCAAATAGAAATATTCATTAGTAAACTGCTGACTGTCTTCTGGTATTATAAAAAGAATAAATTGCCCACTGTAAAATTTACTCAAAACATTGAGAGAAACATTTAATATAAACATTAAAAATAATCAAGCTTTACAAAACGCAAGTCTTCAGAATTTACCATTAAACTATGAAACTTCTTGCAGTATCTAAAATCAACTCAAAATCTACTTATTTAATACGCAAGCAGGTTTTTTGTGACAATTACTCTTCCGAAACTACTGAACCAATTGACATGTTTTTGGTGTCATTGGAAAGAGCGTAACGTGAAGTTGTGCAGTAAACTTTCTTTTTAGGGAAATAATTAGAGAGTGAGGCCTTGGGGCCCTTTTAAGTTTTGTTTTTCTCCATAAGATTAACATGGGAAACAAACATTGCTATGAAACACCAGCTGTTGTCAGAAATTAAAAGTGAGAAAAAGAACATTTGTTTATTGTAAACAGTCAATAAGTTTGTTAATTTAACAGTTTGCGACAAAACATTTACTCACTCGGTTGAAATGAAATATTTAATATTTGAATTTGGGTTGGCGTAAATATTACAATGGAAAAAAGCAAAAGAGTCTGGATAATTTGATATACTAAAAACTAAAAAGAAAACTGAATCGACACTGTGCTGCATTTCTTAGTAATCATTGAAAGAGCCGATTTGCAAACCATGGAAACATAGGAAAGTCATAGAACACCACCAAGGAAAAGAAATAAAAATAATGTTTTTTTTTTTAATTTATAATCGTTATTATGGACAACCGTTAATATGTTGTGTTATTGATTTAATCATTACTATGTGAACCTGTGAGAATTCGCACGATTAATAAATTAGGATATTATAGCAACGTCGTTAGAAGTTGCGTCGTTGTATCGACGTTGGTCTTGAGCTCGATCGTTGGCTATATACATTCTAAGTTCTTTTTGCTGTTCAGTTGGGGTATTTTGCGGGACGGAGCTCATCATACTGAAAACTTGCGCGTATGGGTTAATATCAAGTTGAGTCAGTGCTGCAAGAGCCATTAGCTTTGTTTAGCATTCCTTCTTGAACAGCGGTTTCGAAGTCCGTAGGTATAAATTTGGGCATATGTGGGATGCTCCCCTTCTGACGGTTGAAAGGTGACAATTGGGTGATAAATTGTGTCGTGCACCTTATACATGAAAGGCCCTCCGCCGTTATGTTCTTCAATTTTAGCTCGAGTGCTGACCATTGCGAGCGCAGAGTTGTACGATCTAATGTTCTCTTTGTTTGTAGTTTCTGCTCAAATGATTTGCTCCATTAAGTAGGCTTTTAATATAATAGATTTCTTGGTATGGTGGTAGATTCACTTTTCCTTTATGGCAGCAGGATGAAAATCCTTCACCTCGTCCTCTTTGTTCTTCTTTAAAATGTAGCGCACCACATTTATGACATTTTAATGCCACCTCGCCAAGTGAATGCTGCTGAATTCTTGTTCTTGTCAGAGTAATTTTGTAAATACACGTTGCCACTAACTTTTCCAGCTCTTCGTCTGGGCTCCTTCCGTTTTGCATCACATATTATGGCTGTCCAGCTGGTAACCCGGAGTTTGTGGGTAAAAAAATGGAGCACATAAAATGGTTGATACTGTATCATCCCACTTTTCAGGATTCTCTACGGAGAAAATTTGTTTTATTAGGGGGATGTCTCAAATCAAAGAAATAAAATAACCCAACTTAAATTACTTAACACAGGTTATCAGTAAGGCAACAGTTTTCTTCAATTCTCAATGCTTGAAAAACTTTGTAGCATGATGTTAAATTGAATTGAAGCAGATCATTTAGCATTCATTAGAAGTTAAGTTATCAGTTAAAACTGAGAAATAATGTAGGTGAACCTTGACAACGCAAATACAGATATTTAAAATTAGTTTCTAACAAGTTTTTAAACAACTCTTGAGATGTAACTAGAATTACTCGAATTTAAGCATGACGTTTTCCTCGGCGTTATATTTCATACTAAGCGGCTCATTGAGCCGCACGGGTTCTCTAGTTACTTTTTAATACTTTTAATACTTTTCAATGAAATGGTGACCATACATATTAGGTATTTTAAGCCAAGTATGAATAGAGATGAGTGTAGGATGAGTGGCGGGATCTTGTAGTCTTGTTAGTGACTAAGGCCGACATATTCCTTAGACACAGCTGTGAATTAATAGCCCATACAGCTAATGGCAACTAAGGGACCTACAGCTTATAGTGGAATCCGAACCACATTTTTGCCTTTGGTATATACGAATTGGTCTAATTATCAGGATAGTACTGCGGATAGTCGTAGTAAGTACTCACCCGTGCGGACGTTAATTCACACCAGGGAGTATTGCATCCACAGTGCATGCCTATAAATATCCACAATTTGTGACCTCCTAGTAGTTGGATTACAAGACGACGCCACCCGTTCCAGTCAATAATCAACGAACTGCTTACTAATATTGTAAAGTTCAATTTAGATTTTTGAAAGTTGTGATATTATAATGTGATATATTCATAGACGTCGAACTGTTTACTCCATGAATGAAAGAAAGCCATATACAGTTTTAACAAATTTCCCATATAGGGAATAAGCTATTACCGTGGTACTCATGGTAAGACCTGGACCCGGGACCGATTTAATTTTTCGTTTGAGGTCCTTAGAGGCCAAAAACACCATCCATTCAAATTCATATATTATCCATGATATATAGGGTGTCCCACGAAGGGGTTTAAACGTTTGATTTTATATTACCCGCCCATTCATGCACCGAACTTTTTGAAACTTTACACAGTTTACAAGGTAGGTTTTAAAAATATTCTGGAAAAATTTCAACTCCCTAACCTTAGAAGAAACAAAATGGCGGCATATTGAAAAAGTTACTTTAAAACATTAAAAAAGGTATTTTTGGTTTTATAAAATATTTTTATTGTTACTTTCCAGGGCAATATGACTTTAAAAAAAGAAAAAATTAGAACATAGCCAAATGGAAAACTAAAAATTAATTAAATAACTAATAAATAATAATAATAAATAAATAACTAATAATAAATCATGAAAGTAGTTTTTATAGAAAGCACATTGGTAAATTTGTCAATAAGCCGCCATTTTGTTTCTACTAAGGTTAGGGAGTTGAAATTTTTCCAGAATATTTTTAGCACCTACTTTGTAAGCTGTGTAAAGTTTAAAAAGGTTTGGTGCATGAATGGGCACGTAATATAAAATCAAACGTTTAAACCCCTTCGTGGGACACCCGGTATATATACTATTATAAAGAAGAGGTGGTGTCTGTGTGTTTGTATGAGATAATCTCAAAATCTACTGAACCGACTGGGCTCAAATTGCACACAAATGAAGCTACAGCTCCGAGGATACATATACAACTATTCCCGCTTCGATATTGTCCTAGGGCTTTGCCCCGTGGGCTTTCAAAAATTTGAGGTGAGAGATTTAAAAGTAAATATTGATTGATGGTATCCATGGTAACAAAGAACAAACCTACAAAGTTTAAAAATGTAAACAAGTAGAACTAACTTAACTGTTAGTCCGGCAGAATTTACCCGAACCTGGTTTTGTCCTATTAAGTTTTTTTTATTGTTGATATGTGATATCTAGGGTTAGTAGACCCTAAAACCACCGGGTACTTTTTTGGTACCCTTGGGCAACAGCAGCCATCTTGGAAAATGGCGGGAAACGTAAATTACAGTGTAAGCTTTTACTTAAACCAATATAATTAAAAATCTATTTAAGCTAGAGCAATGCAAGCTATTTTCAAACGTTTTTGGTTAAATTCACTACTCAAAAATACCATATATTAAATATATATATTTTTTTCAAGGTCAGTATTACTTTTCAAAGTTTATAATTTATAAAAACATAATGACATATTTCTTTTTATTTTAATTTTGCGCATTAATTACTCAAAATATGACTATAATATGCATTATAAAGATTGTAGACCTTTAAATTTGGCATCGAATACATCTATTGGATGCTTTGTTGGATCAAGGGTAACGTCAGAACAAAGCGTTAGAAAATTAATTATTTATTGATTTTCAATGAAAAATAAGGATATTTTATATGTTTAGTAAAATTGTAACATCTTTCCTGAGACCATCTGGTACTTCTCACTGGCCGTCTTTGGTATTAAAATGTTTGTAAAATTACCAAAATTTCATATGAACTATTACCTATTTATATTTAAGGACTTTAAGGCCGATCTATTCATCTCCACTCCAAAGAAACAATATTTTTTCAAAAAGGAAAGTAAAAATTTTGATCAACCCATTGATTTATTATTATTAGATGTTGTATATAATTGCAATAAAAACACTCAGTAAACAACTGGCTTCTATTTGACATGAAGATCACTAAAATTGAACGAGTCGGAGGTGAATTACAAGACTTCAACCAACAAAGACTTAAATGTTTGTATAATTTTCTTTGAATAAAAGATTGTTACTTCGAGTACTGATTGTGGAATGTTATATTTTTCGATAATAATATACTCAGCCATCTACTAGCTTTCATTTGAGATATCGGTCATTCAAATCTATCGGGTGTGAGGGGATTTATAGAACTTTATTAACTAACTAACATTTGAGTTTTTCCAAGATGTGTCTTTAATTAAAGATATTATCTCCGGTTATAATTACGATACATGAAATGTTATAAACTAGAATTACTCAGTGAGTTACTGGCTTTAATTTAAGCCATTGACTATTAAAATCGGTTTAGTCGAATATGAGTTGTGGACCCCCAAACCTCAAAAAAATTAGATATTTTTACATCTTTAGTTAATGATTGTGTTTTGAGTTATTTTTACGTGATATTGTATGTTTTGAATACTCAGTGAATTAATG